ATAACCTCTTGATTATTATTTTAAAAATATACTTTTCCTCATTAATATAGATAAATTTTGGATTATGCCAACAAATAACTATAACTGTTTAAATAAAGGTCTCGAGTTTAATTCCTTGTATATGCAGAAAATTTTCGTCGGAAACGTCACCCATTAAAATCATATGTACATCACGAATCAACCAAATTAGTCAGATAAAAGCCCTAGATAACCCCAGGAGGCCAACAAAAACAAAAAAGGACAGCCGATCAAATAGAGGAATATCGTTTGTGGCTAGTAAACAACCACATTAACCATCTTCTAATAGCCGATGGACTCAACAAAACAACACTCTATAGTCATAAGACCATGTTGTAACTTTTAATAGTTGAAAAACTTAATAGAGCATTGTCATACAATCGATGACCATTTGTGTACCTTCCTCGTAGTTGAAATTGATACACTTTCTCACTTAAAATCTTAAACTTCTGATTGACGGATTTTACATTTTTTTTTTCATTTTCATCCTTCAAAAGCAAACTTTAGAAATCGGATTTCCAAACCATTTTTTTGCAAGATCTATAATCATTTTCTTACTTCGAATCTTAACCATCTAATTAACAAAATTTTCGATATTTCTTCAATTTTATCCTCCATACCAAGCAAAGCCTAACATCATTATCAAGGAAACGTAGTATTTGTCTGCCATCACTACATGTTCTTAGAGCATGTCAGGAGGCAAAGGCAATTGCAGCCGTATCAAAATCATCAATAATTTGCAACGACACAAGAACATGAATGGTTCAAATGCTTGTAATGACACCAAAAAATGAGTAATAGTAATAATAATGATAAATCTTCAAAATAGAATCCTCAATTTCAATCAAAGCAACATGAAGTTAACACACATTAAATACACAAAAAAGATTAATGAATTAAAGATCATGTTCAAGATGATGAGCAGCAAGCACTTTTCGTGTTGGCCTCTGGTGCTCCAACATCAATGGTTTTCCCTTCTTTAATACTAGCGGCTGCTGGCTCATCAGAAGAAAGTGACTTCTTACTGATTTTGCGATATATTTCGGAGAGAATGGTCTGGAAAGCCTTCTCAACATTTGTTGCTTCTAGTGCAGATGTCTCGATAAACGAAAGGCCTTCTTTCTCGGCATAGCTTTGACCATCTTCTGTGGCAACTGCTCGGAGATGCTTCAGATCAGTCTTGTTCCCAATCATCATGATTACAATATTAGAATCCGCATGGTCCCTGAGCTCCTTCAGCCATCGGCTCACGTTTTCAAATGTCGTTGGCTTGGTAACATCATAGACCAGTAGAGCTCCAAGAGCACCTCTATAGTAAGCACTGGTTATTGCTCTGTACCGTTCCTGACCAGCAGTGTCCCATATTTGAGCTTTCACAGTCCTTCCCTCGACCTGACACAAGGCACATTGACAACATTTACCTGAAAGCACATGCAAAAAAGGAGGCAGGCAGAAAGACCGAAAACACATTCGAGGCTTTCTTCAAGAAACAGACATACTTAATATGCTCTCTCTAAAGGGACCAACTCTTCCGACAACAGAAACAAAAAGCCTAAAATCTAAAGTTCTTGATATTAGATCAGTTCTAATAACATTTCCAATTTTTACCAGTGATGTAAATAAGAGAATTAAAAAGATCATTGGTAAATAAGTTTAGCACAACATTTTCTTAAGGCCTTTAATCATCCCCCAAATTAGTGCAGATAACCGATGACAAACTCGGCAGTTGCCACCCAGTTTGAGAGAAGTTAAACTCATGGGATCGTGTGTTTCTTTATTCCCCTATGCTATTTTTGGAAATATAAATCTGAAAATTTTTGTTTCACTATGCCACCATTCAACTAAATTAGTCAAGATTCAACATGAATATGTATTTTAAAAAGATAAAAACATAAGTTTTAATTTATAACTATGTCGTTGAATAAGTGATATTATTATTTTTTCTTGTGAATATCTTCTCATTTACTACTATTAATTTCTACAGTCTATTTTCCTCATCTAACTATCTAAAAAGGTGTAAAACTAATTGTCTGAGCCGATCTACGTCTCTCTCTCTCTCTCTCGATATAATCAGTTTTGTTTATTTACTATGCCTAGCCCAGTTAGGCATTGTATCTATCTTACTTTTAAATTCACATCTAGATAGTCGTCCATCAAATCCATCGCAATCAATGAGAAAATTTTACATTTTTGCTCACTTATCTCGTTGATTCAACACAATTCAACCGTATTCACAAAAGATTATCAAAATCAGGACAAATCTGATCCATTTTCAATTAAAATTATCGCTGATTGGCCCAATCTAAAATATAACTGGTAAAAACATTGAAAAACAGTAGAAATTCAAATTAAAAAGCCAAGGAATCAGATCTGACGCATGTCTAGAAAGGGAAATAGTAGATCTAAATCCAATCATCTAATAGAACCTAAAATTACAGTTCATTACAGAAACACGAATAAATAACTAAATAAAAGCAGAAAAAAGGGGATATTTATTACTTGGAGAGTGCGGGTGGCGAATTCGACGCCGATGGTAGATTTAGATTCTAAGCAAAACTCGTTCCGAGTAAATCGAGAAAGCAAATTAGATTTTCCCACGCCGGAATCGCCTATTAATACAACCTTGAACAAGTAGTCGTATTCCTCGTCCGGCCTCCTCGCCATAAGAGTTGAGGATGAAGATAGAAAATGAGAATAGCGGGGGAGTCCTCGTCTTTTCCAAGGGACTGAGACACGGATCAATTACAGAAAATTATAACAATTTACCCATTTTATATTTTTTCCATAAACAAAATATTTTAGGGTAAAGTATAGTAATGGTCACTGCACTTTTCTAAATCTTTCATTAAGGTCCCTAACTTTTAAAAATTGCAATACAATCCTCCCACATTTAGTCCGTTTGCAATATGTTCCCCGACGTAACCGACCGTTTGCAATACAGTCCTTCCACATTTAGTACGTTTGCAATATGGTCAAATTATTTAAGTGAAATTCGAAAGGGAAATTCTTCTAAGTAGCTATTATGCATTCTGCATTACATAGGAAGTTGAAGATGGAACATATTTTATATAATTACACTCATAAATCAATGGGATAGTTGATGGATTTGTAGATGTTAATAAGCATTAAAAATGATTTTAACTTTACCGCCTTCTATTTAAATTGGGATCCATTGACCAGCAGAAGGATAGATGGGCAGAGGTTATAGTCAATTAGCTTAAGTGTGTATGTAGATGGAGATGTTAGCTGCTTCAAGTAGTTTAGGATGTAAAACGATATAAATTTAAAGGAATTTATTAAAAACTGTCATTTTCAGGGTTTTTACTGGATTAGTAGTATAATCTTTTGTAGGGATTGGCTGTGGTATCTGGTTCTTCTTGCTAGTGTAGTGTGTTTGAATTACTTGTAGGTCTTGCATGCAGGAAAACCAAACAAAAATGCCTATAAGGCACTCATTGCCGCTGAATATTCTGGTGTGGAGGTCAGACTGGTTGAGAACTTTGAGATGGGTATCTCAAATAAGACTCCTGAATTCCTCAAGATGAACCCTTTGGGGAAGGTAACCATGCTTATAAATAGTTTGAAACTAGAGAAAAATCCTTTTTATATGTAATGTAACCTTTTTTTTTCTAGATCATTCACTGAAAGGATATCTCTGACTTTAGGTTCCTGTGTTGGAAACACCTGAGGGTCCTGTATTTGAGAGCAATGCCATTGCTCATCTTGCTTCCAACACATTTCTTGTTGGACATATAGTCACCCTTGCTGACGTTATCATGACATGCAACCTCTACTTGGGCTTCTCTGAGATCATGACCAAGAGTTTTACCTCAGAGTTCCCTTATGTTGAGAGGTACTTATGGACCATGGTTAACCAGCCAAATGTCAAGAAGTTTCTTGGTGAAGTGAAGCAGGCAGTGTCTGTGCCAACTGTTCCTTCAAAGAAGCCTGCTGTCCAGCCAAAAGAAACAAAACCCAAAGCCAAGGATGAACCTAAGAAAGAAGCAGAAAAGGAGGTTGAGAAACAGCCAGCAAAGGCAGAAGCCGCTGGGGAGTAAGAGGCACCAAAGCCCAAACCAAAAAATCCTCTTGGTTTGCTGCCTCCGATGATACTGGGTGACTGGAAGAGGCTTTATTCTAACACAAAGACCAATTTTTGTGAGGTTGAAATTAAAGGAATAGACCTGTTGTTTTCGTTGCAACACTTATATAATCCTTGAGCTGTGATTTCTGATACTTATTTCCTGCTTATTTCAGGATTCTGGGACATGTACGATCCTGAGGGATACTCTGGTTTTGTGACTACATGTACAATGAGGAGAATACAGTCTCATTAGTCACGAATGATTGGAGCTTTGGCACGAAAGTATGCTTTTGGGAAAATGTTGGTGAGTGGAGCTGAGCCTCCATTCAAGGTGAAGGGGGTATGGCTTTTCCGTGGGCAAGAGATTCCTCAATTTGTGATTGACGAGTGCTACGATATGGAACTCTATGAATGGAAGAAAGTTGACATCTAAGACGAAGCATAGAGGGCGCAGGAGAATCAGATGATTGAAGATTGTGAGCTTTTTTAGGGAGAACCTCTCTTGGATGCCAAATGCTTTAAGTGATAAGTTATCTCCTAGCTTATGCAGTATGCTATTGTTCTACCATCTCATTTTTTTAACTTGATTTAGTTTACATTAAAATCAAGATTTAAATTATCAGATATGTGGATTCGGAGACTGCTATGTACGTTTTGTTTCATTATTGTTGAGGCAATTATCGTATGATTTGTAATAATTTTATATTACAAATCATGCTATGCCAAAGATTCACCGGTATGCATTGCATATTTGATTATACCTTGCAATAAGGCAAACATGAATTCTAGAAATAACCTTTTTTCCGTTAGAAGATGCCGTAAGTATAACCAATTTGTTAGATGAATGGGAACATAACGAGAACATTTAAAACATTCAAGTTATACACCTAGAGGCATGTAAAATAAACAAGATATTGAGAGGATACTTACTATTAAGACAATAGGCAATACAATGATTATATCTTATTAAGAAGGGCACACATATGTAGATATATGCAAGAAATAATGCAAGATTGTCGGTACAAAGAATGTTGGAGCACATCAGAAGAACATGGCTAAAACAATTAGGGGAAATAGGTTATTTTAACTAATGAAGTAGAGACGTCAAACCTTATGGGGAATGAATAATGCATGAAAGAGGGATCATCGGAGATTGCCCAAAGCTCAAAGGAGTTTGACTTAGCTCTTCCTAACTCAGCCTCCCTAAGCTATCGTCATAATTTCAAGCGACGGTATGTGCAGCAAGCCAACAGGACACAGATTTATCGTCATGTGTCTACGGTCATCTGCCCGTCTTCGCCCTCTTCATTCCTGTACTGTTAAAGGGCGACATACTAGGACTCATGCTTGGGCTCATACTCGGACTCTCTTCCCTTAAGGTACCATTTAGCAAAGCCAACTCCCTAAGCTGCTGTTTCTTGTAGCCATCCAAGGATTCATCCTGGCAATGGTGGATGAGGGGTTAGAGAACAGAAATGGAAGGGTAACATAAAATTATCACAAATTGCTTTTTGTTCATACCACAGGCTTCAGAAGGTTTTCTAGTATTGCAACAGCATACTCCAATCGAGAATTTACCATGTCCTCGGGAAATTCAGCCTCCACCAACACATGCAATGGCTCATTAAGGTGTTCATATCCAGGTTTATCTTTCAGCTTCTCTTCCTGTAGAAAAGTCAACAGCCAGATTGAGAATTTAAAACAAGTGAAGCAGAACAAGTTACTTTTAGTAAAGATGATCACTGCATTGATTGATCACAGTAGTTACCAGCACAAAAATGTAAAAGATTGAGGTTCCATTTGTTTGTTGCTTTTACCTTTTGATTTTGTTGTAATAGAAAAGTCAAAAACACAAAATAAATATGAAATAAAAACAATGGATAAACAGCAAAAATTCTTAACGGAGCCCAAATAAACATGATACAAATATTGGATGCAGAGTACATCAAATGTAAATGGATATGCAGATTACCAGCAAATTTGAAACTAGATCAATTCTCATCGCCTACAATTTAAAATTCCAGCAGAAGATGGATCAAGAGGGAAAATATGGGGTGGGGGCAGGATATTATACTCCTAAGCCTCGCTCAACAACCAGCCACACTCCAATTTTCAAGAGAAAGTAGAAAATACTTGCCTGAACAAGAAGTATCTCAAGACTCAACTGCACACTTTTACCAAAATTACATGTTGGAAATAAAAGAATTAAAATGATTGACTATACCTTTACAGAATCCTTGACAGAACCCTTGCCTCTTATGTACACCCTACACTCTGTCATAGCTTCAACTCTCTTTAGGGAGTTCCCTCGTGGTCCCAAGATTCGGCCAACAAAATTATACTGCAAGAACTTAGTCAGAACTATTATCTTAAAAAAGAAGAAAATGAAAACTTATAATTTTCAAGATAACTTACATTTGGATATTTATCGACAGGTACATCAAGTCTAACAACTCTCTTTACAATAGGTGTTGTTGGGGCTCTTGGCAAACCAGGCCAACCCATTGATGCAGCTTGAATTGGAGCAACTTGTTGCATGTGCCCATTTTCCTGAAACAAGATAATCACATTAAAAGAATTTCATTTTACTTTCATTTAACATTTAATGAGAAACACATTATTTCGGTGTAAAAATATATCACATTGGGGGCCAACAACAAGTATATTGAAATTTACTAACCTGATAAGCAATTGCAAAGTTTGATATAAAAGTTATTCTAAAAACAATTTGGTATGTTTATAACCATTAAACTGCAATACCTCTGTTTGCATTACAGACCATCCCTCCAAATCCATCTGTCTCCCATTGGGATGTTGACCCAATGACCTGAAAGGACTATCATGCTCAATTCTCTCATGATCCACAAAACTAGGAGTAAGTCCTGAGACCCTTCTGATCTCTGCAGTTAAATTAGAAATAATAAAACACTCAATATGTTGTCAAAACGGTCTCAATGGTAAAAATGGATATTTGGAGTTTATTTGTGGCATGGGATACATCTTTTGGTAGAACCCTCTGGTGGCATGCCCTCCAGTTTACTTGTTTTAATTTTCAAGAACCATCTAGTCTAAGAACACTTCAAGCTGTAATAATTTAAAATAACATGTTGCTAGTTTAGGATTATAAAGGTTAACTAGGTGGACAGATAGTGTTACGCTGTTATTCGCTTACAATTTCAGTTCAACGTCATTGACAATCACTGTGTTTATTTCATCATGTGTGGTTTATTCTCAGAAGGAACAAACCAACAGTGTGCTCATAAAGATAAATCTAAAGTAAAATCTAGAGGAGTGAAATTTACATTAGTTAGAACAATAATATAGATGGCAGGTTTAGGCATCCTTGAGATATATCCTTACAGAAAGTTTTACTATTAGAGTGTTTTCCATTCAACCAAAAAAAAAATCACAAGCAGTTTCAGAACTTGCTAATGAATATTATATTGCAGAAAAATGAAAAGAAAAGGAAAATTCAATAACCTTGATTAAGAAGCCTGGTACATAGAGGCAGAACTTGAGTGAAAGGTACCAATTTCTGTTTCTCTGTCCATAATTCAGCGAAATATCTGCCATAGTTGATTGTGAGGTAACAATGAATATAACAATGATTCACAGTAAGACATGTATCTAAGATAAAATAGAATATGAAATAAGAGCATCAACATGAAGAAAACATAACCATCAATTAGAAAACGGAACCTTCTTCCTTAAAACAATCACTCATACCAAAACAACAAGATAGAAACAGAAAAGGTTAAAGCTTTTCCTTAAACCAACTTTGAGAAACCATATCAATCAGAACAAAGAAAGCTCTAATTGTTACATCAATAAAAAAAATATCCCATCAAATATTGGAGTGAAACTTCCCCAAAAGAACAAAAAAAAGGAGCTTTAATTTATTAAAAGTATTTAAATAAAGAAGATGAAAAAACTAACCTTTCACGATCCGTAGGAAGAGAAGAAGCCCTATGAGGGGAAGCAAGGACTCCAGAAGGCGGATACTGAAAGTAACTCCCTGGTGGGATCCTCTCCCCCATCATATAAATCAGCCTTCCCTTATTCCTGCTTAACTCGTTCAACGTATAAAAAAACTCTTAAAAAAAAAAATCTTCAAAATCAAGAATCCAACGTATAAACAAAAATATATAAGGATTAAAGAAGAAAACCCCAGACTTACTTTGATGAAAGGGAAGAGAGAGAGAGAAGAAAGCAAAGGTAAGGTAAGCAAACGAGTAAAAAGGGGCAGAGATGCAAAGTCTGCTGCCCTCTCTTTTATGTGGAGCAGAGTGTCAATCAAAGAGACTAAAGCCCTACTCCCAACAAACACTATATGCTTTCTTTTTTCTCCTTTTATACGCTCTCAAATTTTTACCACACCCACATCATTTTAAATTAGGTAAACTATGCATATGGTCCTCTATTATAGGGTACTACTTTGTTAAGTCATAGATTATTAAAAGTTATAATGATTCTTTGATTATAAGGTATTATTTTGTTAAATTTCTTGATTATTAAAAGTTATAAAATGGTTATCCAACTATTAATATATTTCAAACTCATCCTTTTACATTAAAATATTGATGACAATATGAGTTGGATATTAATCTGTTGATTCGGATATGATAAAATTTAATCCTAAAATGTCAAACTACTATCAAATTTTAATTAGCATGTTAACATTCTGCTATGATGACCAACATTTTTTAACAAATAAAAGAATGAGTTTAAAACATATGAATAGTCGAGTGACTATTTTATAAGTTTTAATAGATGAGGGACCTAAAAAAGCAACACTCAATAATTAAATGATTATTTTATAACTTTTAATAATTAAATGACTCAATAATAAAGTAGTACCTTTCAATAGCCCTAATCATTTTAATTTTCAATTTTTCATGCAAACCCTTTCATTATTTTGCTGTGAAAGTTGTGAATTTATTATTATTATTATTATTATTATTGAATAGAAAACTTGTGAAATTAAATGTTTGGATTTAGTCCATTTAGTTGATTGTTTGTGAATATCAACAATCTTACAAAATCTTCCAAGGTAGGCGTGTGTATATATAAATTTGACTCACGGGTACCAAAGCTCTTGAATTCTTAAAATAATTAAAGTTAATTTCTCTATTTGGTCATTCATCTATTCGCCCGTTCTATTTTAATTATCTAATTACTTCTTTCTCAAAATCACACCTAATATTTTATTTTATTTTATTTTATTTTAATCATTGGTATAATAATAATTTTAATTCTCAAACTAACACAATATATCAAATTGACTTAAATTTAAAATAAATTAATAAATCTTCAATATTTAAAATTCTTATCAATTTGGTCCTTATTTAAATTTAAAAGAATGATTAAATCAAATTATTAATAAATTGCTAAAAGTAATAATGTTTATAAGTGAAGAATAAAGGATGGTATCCAATTACAAAGTGATATAATAACTAATAATAATTCCCTTTATCTCCTATTAACGCCGCCTCCATTTCTTCTTATCACTCCCTATTTTAATCATCGTCTTCCCTTTCCCTTACCTTCAATTTTCAAATCCAATACCAATTTTTAAATTTTCTCTTTCTTTACCTTCCACTTTTGAATCATTTTATACCCAATCCATAATCAAAGAGACTCAAAATTCAGAAACTACAATTGTAACATCGTCCGTCGAATAAGCGGTGGTAGAAGGCAACACCGCCTATTGCCTCTGATATTGATTTTGAAGAGAAACAAGTCAAAGTTGAAGCTATGGAGAAAAATATGGTCGACGAAAAGAAAGTGAAGGTGACTATGTTTGCGTCATTCAAAGATGAAGCCAATATAGTTGGTTAACTTTTTGACGCATAAAAGAAGACTCTCGAAGAGTTTAAGCAACTTCTTCAAGAGGTTATAATAAGAAGGAATTTAGTGTTCCACCTCACATCCTTCTACAAAAGAGCAAGGGGTTTTATTTTTGGATTTTGACATGAAAATAGTACACTTCCAACTTTGAAATTGTAATACCCAAAAATTCCATCTAGTGACCGTTTACATTTCTAAGGTTTAGTAGTCAAAGTATAAATTTGGGAAAAATTTAGGGATCAAAGTGTAATTTTAAAAAGTTATGTAACATGATCCCGTAAATGAATAGTTCACCCTCAATAGTATTTTTTGAAATTTAATTTTTCGTACGGATTTTGTATTTAAAACTATAAAGTGATAAAGTTCGAGAAAAATTCGGATAATCAGATCGAATCGGATTTTTGAGATATTTTGAAGGATGATAAGGTAAGGTTAAAAATGTCATTTCCATATCTTAATTTGGAAGGATTAACTGTCGATAATTGGATTTGAGATAATTTTTTTTATGTTAAATATGAATCGTCAGATTTAAGTGACTAGTTTGTAATTTTTGAAAATTACAAGGGAAAACATAGAAAATCATGATCTTGATATTTTTGTTATAGATATGATGATGTAAAGGATGATGTCCTGAAGTGACATAGATGAAATTATCAAATTTCATTAATGGTAAAATGGTAAATTAATTATAAATGAATTTTAAATTCATTTAATTATTATAAAGCCATGTGTATCATGATAATTATGAGAGAAATAGCTAGAATTTTCAGCTTTCTTCAAGCTTTGGCCGTGACCTTCATTGTAGGTAAGGGAGAATTTTTTAATTTGATTATAAAGCTTTCATTGTTGATTTTTTGGTTAAGCTATTAGATAGAGAATTAATCTACTTGAAATTATTTATCATTTGGTATAATTATTTCATGAAAATCATGCTTGGATGATGAATTTCATGATTTGGGTGGATGAAGAACAAGTTTTGATTTTGGTGATTTAAAGCTTGATTTTTATGTTATTAAGGTTTTATATTTATTTTCAAGCTTATGTGAAGAGTAAAATTGATTGGAATTACATATATAAGTTTCAGCATAGCAAGGGTTCATGGACAATTGGTTGAATTTTGATTGAATTTGATGGTTGAATGCTTAGAATTACATGAGTTTAATCATAGGAGGTTAAAATCATGCTTGAAATTGGATGAAAAGTACACCCTAATTTCTTAATTAGGTTCGGCCAAGATAGTTAGGGAAAATTTTGTGGAAAATTATTTTGAGTTTAGAATTTATGAATGGATGAATATGTAAGCTTTATAAATCTATTTGGACCAATTTGGAAGTAGTTAAAGTAAAAGGACTATTTTTCAATTTTTGGGAATTATGAGACCTTGAAGTGAAAATTTTCAATTATGAGAATTCAATGTTGAAATTTAATATTTGGGTATAGAATTTAAAATTAGAATATTGATTTAAGATCAAATTGCAAATTTGGTAAAGTGTGATGGCTGAATTCTAATGGATTAGGAAATAATGGATTGAATTACAATTATGCAATTGTGAAGGTATTGAATTGAATATATTTTTTACAATGCTGGAATGTTGGGGATTAATTTGAATAAAGTAAAAAATTATGAAGGATCAAGATGCAAGTTGTAAGAATTGAAGAAGATATTAAGGATGCTAAATAATGAAAACAATTTAGATTTTTGAATCTAGCAGTAGGTTTAAAAAATCACTAGAAATTATATAAAAAATGATTAGTAGATTACTTTTATATCGTTGTGTTTTTATGTCCATTTAGTTTTGTTTAAAACAAACGGGGATCAATTTCGAATTGTATAATGAAATATACGGATTTTTGATCGATGATAGGTCAAAAAATATGTCAGCATATTATGCTCAAAACAGATTCTGAAAATTGGAATAGAAAATTCACTATAAATTGTACAAGTTGAATTAGAAGGATTAATTTATATGGTTAGATTCTTGTTCGAGTTTAGTTTCCAATGGAAGAAACGAAATTAAATTACAATGTGTAGATCAATATATAATAATGATTCTTTAAAGGTAGTGCAAGTTGTCATAATATGAAAATTTTAGAATTGAAGTGTAAATGGATTAGAAGTTGAAGAGTAATGTTTAAATGTTTGATTAGAATGTTTGAGTATATTTTTTATGCTTAGAATTGAATTTAAATGGCAAGGGACCATTTTTAATTGTTAAGATCGAGTCATTCAATTTTTGAACAACTTCCAAGTGGGTCACCCATCCTTGGATTACTCTGGTTCCAAGCACCTGATATCACGCCCCTACACGATAGAATCCCTAAGGGTGATCGCTGGACCCTATAACCCAACAATTACCCCCATCGACACTTGGGGGATCGAACCTGCAACCTACTTTGATACCACTTATTAGGATCGAGTCATTCAATTTTCGAACAACTTCCCAGTGGGTCACCCATCCTTGGATTACTCTGGTTCACGCACACTTAACTATAGAGTTCTGAAGCGAATGATCACCATTCCTTCTTAAAACTAATTGGTGATAAGTAGGTGGGTCATTTTAACTTCATATCTTTGTAGCGGGTGATCACTGGTTTTCCCCAAGCTAAGGTGGATTCTTGTTGGGCACCCCCCACAATTCACCACGGCATTGCAGAGCCCCGCATCTATAGCGTGTTGCGGGCGGGCCTAGGGGCTTCGCAAGGCACACGTGGGCCTCGGCAGGTTGGGCTGTCAAGCACCGCCCATACACAATAGAATCCCTAAGAGTGATCGCTGGACCCCATAACCCAACATTAATGAATTATAAATGTTGAGAAGAATTCTAAAAGAATTCATTTTAATGGTTAAATGATGAAATTTGAAAGGATTAATTGAGTTATTAGTTGACATGAATGTTAAGATGATTGAAGTTATATTTAAGTGTTATGGTTAGCACTGACGTGTTGAAATGGGTTTAATATCGAATAAGTATTGATAGAATTTTTTATGAATTTTACCACTAGGTTTTGCTTATGTTAGTAAAATACTAATATATGCTTTGGAATGTATGTGATGTATAAATTACGAACGTGAAGATCATGATCAAAGAAAGGTTAAAGGTAAAGAAAAAGTTCAAGAGTGAAGCTAGAAACGCTAAGTAAGGTTATTATTGAGGTGTTATCAGGTAAGTGCATTTTACTTACTCTATATAAGTATGACATGAGGAAGAATTACGATGAGTCAACCTCGAATGACTTGAAAAGAAATTCATTTTAATCTGTTTTATTATATTTCATATTATTTTGTTTGATGATTTCTTATGAATGATTTCAGGTATGAACTGCCCAATGTATTTTTGTTAGGATTTGAAGATAAATAATTTAACAACAAAAAATGTGCAAATGGGGTTAATTGAAAAAAATAATTAGGGAGTAAGGAGAGAAAAAGATAGAAAAATTTGGCATAAGGATTTAAAGTGGTTCGACTTATCAACCAAGTCTACATCCACTAC